TTGTCTTCACCTTTGTTGGTTCTATGGCATTCCATTTGGGAATGCAGGCAAGGTGCAATTTGAGCATACAAAGAGTAGAGATCCTCTTTAAAAGCCCTCTTTTGAGTGTGCCTGTTGGTTCTATTCTCACTAATGTTCTGGGCCATGAGATTTTACTACACAAAGGAGCAAATCCAGGATAAGGGCTTCCAGATCCTCAGTTTAGCATTTATTTATTAGAGGGTAAACAACATCACTGAATTGTCACTTGAAACAAGTCAAGTTTTCAGTCTCTTTGGACAAATTAAAAGTTTTTCCAGATAAAAAGAACTGTGAAGGTTCTTGATGTACTTTTGCAAATACCTAATAGTGTCTTTTGGGTTTGTTTTTTTTTTTTTAGTATGTGTTGTGTTACGCTCAGCAATACAAGTAAGTCAAAAGCTTTCCAAATTCCCAGTTGCCATTTGAAATACTAAGTGTTTTCCTCAGCTCATCTCCAAGGTGGCACAGGACTTCTGGCAGAAGTTTTCAAAAATCCATCAAAATGCATAGGGTGAAATAGAGCCCTGCTTAATACTGCCCAATATTTCATTTTGATGGGAGTAAAGGGTGTTAAATTGTTGTTTTCTTAAGCAAATAAACTGTATGGCTGACTTGTTTCATATTTGAAACTGTTTGTTTCTTGAATTATTAAAGAAATCAGAACGCAACTAAGTGCCACAAATCCTTTTTAAAATAAAATCTTTTTAATAGAACAGTACAAGTAAGTCACTATTATGAGTATCGATGCAAAATGTATCTAAGAAGTTGAAAGGTTAACTACAAATGTTTCCTAAGGTCAGTCTGTACTAGCCTTGGACATCATTTTGCACTTGCTTATTGGAGATCTTGCTGCATGCGTTCCTGATTTCCATTCCCCTTTCAGACTGAGCAAGTGTATACTTCTGTGTAGATGGGTCCCTAGATAGTCTCTATATTAGAAGCAGAGTGTGCTTTTAGCTTTTGCAGTTTATTTACCGGGCATAAAGACTTTGTCTTTAGAGTTAGTCAAAAAGGAGGCACATACTGATTTTCTGTGTTACTCATAATTAGGTTACTCTAGATTTTCATCCAGTGATTTTTCTATTCCAATTTAAGATTTTTACTGTACTAAATTTTAGTCTAGTAAGAAATTCATTTACATGACTTCGAACAGACCAAGTCTTTTTTTTTCTGCGTGCACAGTGAATTAGTGTTGAAATACATCTGTATTTTTAGGTTATGAATTGCATGAAGTAGTTAGTGTTAATAGAGAAGGTAAACCACATGTATTTTTGTGATACAAAAGATTAAGTGTGTAAAACCACACACTTTTGTGATACAGAAGATCAAGTGTGTAAAAAGCACTTGTATCAGTCTGCTTTATGGAGTTGCTTAAGTACATTAGGAAGCTACGTTCTTCAGATGGACAGTGGTGAATGTATCCCACATTCTACAGTTAACTTCTTAAGAATTTTTGGTGGTAAATGTGTTTGGCAACAGCCTTACATGAAGACATGAACAGGAATTTCCTTTGAAGAATAACCTAGAAACTTAAATGTTTAATTACTTTGAAATACCAAGGGGATGGGGCAGTGGTGTGTACTCATGGTAATGTCCTTGTTCACTGTTTTCAGTTCAATATGCTAAACTATTCTTCTGTTTATCTCAAATATGTAATTATATAAGGCATTTCTCTTACAAAGGAAGTTACAAGTACAGAAAAGTAGCATCTTGGCTGTAATGCTGTGCTGTCTTTGGACTTTCTTACAAAGTATTTTATCTATGGAGTTGTGAGGGGGGTTGATTTTGATTTTTGTCAGCAGTAATGCAATATAGTGCTTATTGCTGTCTTGTCAGGTGTCTTGGATGCATGGGTCTTGCATACTTTCTAATATTTCACATCAGCAAATGATCATAACTAAAACGTGTTGGTCACAAGTCAGTAGAATGTGGTAGAAGTACTCTGGATATTAGCAGTCTTCAAATATGTATTAACATGATTGGCCACAGCTATGGGTATGGACATAATGTGATCTTCATGTGAGCTCATACAATTTGGTAACTAGAAAAATGGCAAAAAAAATTATCTTGCTTCTTTCACTGTCTTCCCACCCTCCAACCAAGACTACAGGTTCATTGTGTGGCATGCAGCTGGAATGATGAAGTCTGAGAGATACTTCCAAATGTTCTCAAAGTTTGAAAGGATCTAGAGGATTATGTCACGTTTTGGGACAAATAGGAGTTCTGGGGTTTGTGCTTTATACTCCTCCTAAACCACTGTGTTCTCCTTTCCTAACTCTGTTTTTAATTTTATAAATTCAATGGTAGTCTTTAGTGTTAACTCTTCCAGTATTCCAAGGCCTGCGATGCCCCTTGTAAAGCAGGGGCGAAAATAGTCTTTCCAAAGTTAATGTGTTGAAATAGTATGTAAATTTTGATGATGTCTTTTACTTTATTTATAAATATTTATATTTACGTTTGTGTGCTGTGTTGTGCAAAATGCACAGTGTCAAACAGAAAAGTTGTGCTGTGCAAAGTGATATGTGAAATGCATTAGCGGCACTCGGTATCTGTTTCAATACTGAGTTTGTGAGAAGAGTAGTGTAACACCACATAAATGTTCTCGGCTGCTGCACAGCTTGGGTTTGCTGATATTCTGTCAAAATTTTAAGATCTGTTTTTCTAGTTACTGTAACTGCAAGAATTTCTGGGATGTCTTTGTCTAGAAAGAGTAGAATGGATCAAAGGCTACTTTTTCTGGAGAAAAACAAATCTGAAGAGCTTCTGTGGGTTCTGTTTCTGTAATCTGCCTTAGCGAGCTCAACACCTCTGTTCTAATAAGCATGAACTCTACAGCTACTGCTTAAGTTACAATCTGGTATCTAGATTGTGTCTGTATAAACTTCACTGTGGATGGATGCAGAGTGCAGGATTCTTGATCTTAAACTGTCTCAGCTGTGAGATGTCCTGGGACTTGTAGGGTACGGAGAGGTTTGAGCATGGCTTGTGTATTTTTCTGTTTCTATAGAGCATTGCTGAGGTTTTGTCAGAATGTAGAGCACAAGGAATATTCTTGTGTTTTATATAGAAAGGCATGTATGCCACACACCACTGCATGATTTAAGCTTGCTGGAACAAATGCCACTTAAGTCCTCTTGCAAATCGGAGTGAAAGCAACAGGCCTTGGTGTCATATTTTAAGTTTAGTTGTGGTTTGGGTGGTCTTACCTGTCCTAATTTGATGCCGATTTTGCTTGTTTGTTGTTGGGCTTTGCTGGGTTTCATCTTGCCTTCAAAGGGTAATAGCTGGTGGTGGTTCTTCTAACAGAACTTGCATATAACTTACGGCATTCACTACAATATAGTTTGCATTAATACTAGTGCTGGTAACTGTTCTACAGTTGATGGCATTTATCCTAATGATACTTCTTTTTAAAGTCATTTTTTTGTATCAGAATAGGATAGCAATGTAGTGGGGAAATTACCTTACAGCTAGCTTTTTGTTTCCTTCTCACTTCCCTTCCTGCATTCCTTGTTTAACTTGATTCATACATTCCTTGTGGGGGGGGTTAAAAAGTAGTTCCTAATGGGAACATCGAAGCCAGTTAGAATTCTAACTACAGATTTCTGATTAGCTTCGCAGTTTTGACCATTTCTTTAATGAACTGTCTGTTCAAGACTCAGATCTGAGTCCTGCTTCCCTGAATTGCCTAGGAAAGTGAGAAGCTTGTTATGTGATGGGCATGTGCAGGTGGCATCATTTCTTTCATCAGTAAAAAGAAATGATCATTAGAACACTTCCTGCTGCCAAGATCAAGTAATAAAGGCTTGATCAGAAGAAGAGTTTTGGGAGACAAATTCTGTCTCTTCCCCCTCCTGGGTAGCCAGGTGGTAAACTTGTATAGTTTGTAAGTGAAATAGGAGGAAGTTTAGTTGAGTGTGATTGTGGTGTTCTCAGCTCTGCCTTGCTGCTTTGACTAGTAAAGGCATTAAAGGGTAAGGGGTTTGAAATCTCAGTTGGTTTGCTTCAGGTTTGAGTACTAATATAGCAGGTCTTGCTAATTTATGATTTCTTTAGTTTCTTGTGAAGTTTTGAGTTGTCCTTTTAAATAATAATTTCTAAAGCTTTATATAATTCCAAAGAAAACTGCTGGTCCCTCTGTGGCTGTTGGAGCTTTAGGTGCCTGCATACCATCTCAGCTGTGATTACAGGAGTTTGAAATGCAGCAGATTCAGTCCTTGGTGTAGATACATTGTGTTTCAAGTGCATTTATTTCTGCATGTAGTAGGTGAGCCTGCAGAGAACATAGCCTTGCTGTTTCTTAGCGAGATTGAATTCCTTCAGCCTCTATGATACGGATGCCCGAGGTATTCTATATCTATGTTATTTCACGCTGCTCCTTTGCAGAACAGTTAAAAGGTACTTCCTCCCCATTCATGATACCCCTTTGCACTTGCACCTGTGACCTGTGCCTTGTTCAGTGGTGTAAGTTTCCCTGCATTTTTTTGAGTGCAGATAGTTCTAATTGTATGTCAGAAATAAGCAAGCAAATGTAAGCTGCTTTCATTTTTCCCACTTGTCACTACTATGGTGACGCTTGGTGTGAAAGCAGCTAACTCTTCTGGTACTCGTGTGTTTAATTTTGTTGCTTCTGCTGTTTGTAAAGGGCAATTTGCAGATGTTAGTTACTGTGCTGATGGGGGGGTGGTTTGCATAGAAATTTAGCAATGCATTTAACCTTTAAAAATGAAAGTGTTGCTGGTCTTTGTATTTGTTGAACAAAAACAATTTCCAAGTTGGAAATACCAGTTGCTAGACAGCATTAATGATGCTCATAAATTGTAAACAGATTGCAGATGATCTATAGCTAATTCTCCATCATGTGTCTGTATTGTACAAAGGTGTGACGAAATGGAGAGCACTCCTTAAATCCATAGCGGTCATTTTTAATTTCAAGTTGTAATCTAAATAACTGTGTAAACTATTTCTGTATTTCCCAGACTACATTGTGAAAGAAGATGAAGAACAGAAAGCAATGTATTCAAGATACTGAGGGTCAGAATCATGAAGGCATGGAAGGTAAAGTCTGTGTGTGTGAAAATACTCAAGTACATTATTCAGGTTCAAGCTGTGAAGGTCAGATTGTACATTTGCTCTCAATTAGTATGTTGCTTGTTTTGAAAGAAGTTACGTAAACATAACCACTATCTTAGCATAATATTTTTCTTTGACCTGTGGGGTCCCCAAGTCCTTTCTTGTCTTTTCTTTTTTTAACACGTTGATGTCTAGTAGCAGAGCAAAAATGGAGATAGCAGTTGTTATTCAGAAAAAAATAATTAATTTAGAGCAAAATTCCTTGAAGAAAAGTTCTTACATTTTTATATCCTGAAAACAGTTTCTAACTTTAACAAAATTGGGAACACTTCTTATTTAACGTACATGATTAGGTAAATATTTGAAGATGTTTGGATTAAAATAATTCAAAGACTGGTAAACTGAAATAAAGGTAGACCATGTGTATATAAGGTAATGAATATAGAATAAGCTGGTCTAATTTATTTCATGGAGAGAGTGCAAATTTCAGAGGAGGAAGAAATCAGGAGAACAGTGTTTAAATGACAATGTGATCAATAGGAAACACTGTGATGCTTTCTTTATTTAAATAGCACTAGAGCTAACTTTCCTTTGTTTTATGGCAAATATTGGTACCGTAGTCTATGAAAAATGATGCATAATGTTTTTCACCTGAAACACATTCTTTTAATTACATCTGGGCAGTGTCTTGGCAGCTTTAGACCTGAAAACTTGTTTAGCTTGCTTTTAAATAGAGAAAAGTCTATCTTATTGCCTTATGATTAAAGTCTAGAAGGACTTTGTTTCAAAAACTGTCAAAAATTCTAAGTGTCAATGTTAATAATACCAGGTGAAGAAAATGAAGAAAGCTATTCCTGTTCTACTTTATTATATGATGGTGACACATGCCCCATCTGTCTGAACTGCCTTCTAGAACAAGAGATTGGTTTTCCTGAGAACTGCAGTCATACCTTCTGCATGACTTGTATTCTTAAATGGGCTGAGGTAAGACTGAGAACCAAGGTGTGTGGTTTGTTTTTCAGTGAAATCTACTGCATCTAATGCCTACAGGTTTGGTTTGTTGTTTGTTTAAGCAAATAAGTGACACCTTCTGACTTTGCACAGAAGTGTTTTCAGTGACCAGCTTATAAATAGATCATAGGAAACTTTCTCCTTAGTGCAATGAAGTACTTTGTTTTCTTTCACTGGACATCCTGACTTCCATGGTTTCTAGAGATAAGGGGTCGGCAAAAATTAGTGTTGGCTGTTTGAAAGATCAGACAGTATTACATACATGTCATAATACTGGAGTGTCATTAGCTTGCTTTTGTTATGCTGTTTGTCATATTGTCAACTCTTAGGGCTGGGACTAATATGTTTTCATGTTAGTCTACAAGATGATCCTGATAAAACCTTAGTTTTCTAACTCTAAAGAGAATTCACCTAAAAGGTTTAGTACTATTCTGAATTTTAATAAAATCAATTTAAATGTGCCTGTGTGTAAATATGGCTGTGGCTTGATCTGTGTCAGTACCTTTTAGATAGTTCTGGAACCTTAAAGACAAATGATTTGTTGAATAAGTTCTTGATGATCTTGTTCTATTTAATTCCTTTTTCCTCACATGTACCCTGTAATCATTGCATTGAGTCTTTGGTATCTTTACCTTTTCAGCAAGTTTTGCAATTATCAATATAATACATCAAAATAGACTTGCTTTATACTATATTGGAAGGGGGGGTGTGCTCAAGTGAGATGCTGGTTTTTGTCCTGCTTCTGTGCACTTGAATTGGTTGCTTATTGTAATAGAGACCACTAATTTGTTTCTCCACAATAAATTCTCTTTTGAAGTAAATAAGGATTTTGCTTTCAGTATATCTTTTATTATGTTGACATCGCTCTGTGTATACATACTATATACTCATGTATTACCTTTTACTTATTATATTTTTAACCTTGATTTTTGTGTTATTTGTTGCTGAAGGCTAACAGTACCATAAATCACTTCTTTCTGAAGATTTTTTGTGAACTTCAGCATATTGAAACAAGGTTATTAGATGAAACTTGCTTTAGATTCACAAACTAGGTAATAAACTACATGTCCTGATGCCAGATTTTCTGTTCTGTGAATGATTAATTGCAGTGATTTTATTTATAAGGGAACAGGAAGTTCTCATCCACAACTTTATTCTGACTTCCTTAGCTGGTTGTTATAACGGCAGCTGAAAGACAATAGTCACATGTATGGTGGATGAAGGGCTTGCTGCTGGTTTTGAATTTGTTGACATTGTCGAACGGATGCTTTTAAGCCCAGTGAGGAAGGGAAATTTTCTTGTTTCAAAGAGGCAAGTGAATGATGTAACATTTTTCTTGTCATGTCGGTGCATTTTTTTCCACAAAGTACTGTCCAAATAGAATAAAAGACTTCTGCTCTTAAAGAGTTTACAGAAAAAGTAGCTGTGATGCCATAAAATCAGTGGGGGGTTGTTTTTAAAGCTGTGTAAGGCTTCTACTATTTCTTTCCATTAGTGACATCTGATGGATAAAATCAGCCAGCCTTCCTGTTCTGATGATGCTTGACAGTTGGACCTATTGAGCTCGTGAAACTCCATACTTTTCATTAAAAGTAAAGGGGGGGAAGAAAAAACCAAATGTTGGAAACTGCCTGACAGATGTTCAGAAGCTTCAGCTGTGAGAAACATATGAGGTTTTATAGCTTGGAATGATTGAAACATACTATAAGCATGTGGCTATTTGAAGCATGCTGATGCCTTGTGGGTTTTGTGTCCTCTGTTAATGTTTAGTAAGTAAATGTTTTTTGTTTTGGCTTAAGCGTTGCATAAGGTTTAGCTTTCTCTGCTAGTTCTTGGTTGATCATAACTAACAAAACCTAAATAATTGACAAATAGTCAAATTTAAGCACTTGGAATAATGAAGGTGCAAAAATTATTTACTCTAAAAGAAATTATATTATGTAATTTACTATTGGAGAGTTTCAAGCTGGAGACTGATATGTTGGAAGCTGATAAAAAGTAAAAGGCACTAAATCTGGAGCTCCAATTAATGGACACAGCCTTCAGTGGGAGTAATGAAGGATTGATAGTGTAAAGCAAAGTATTGCTTTCAGCATGAAGATGTACATGCCAACATTATTCTGCCCACGTAACAGATAACGAGTTTGGCTATTGCTGTGTGTAGAAAAAGGAGGGGACGGAGAAGCTACAACAAAACCCACAAAAAAAACCAAAGCCTACCTAGAGTCTTCAATCATGGATACTGTTGTGCTACACAAAGGGAAGTAATTACATTATCTGTTTATCTTGTCTGTAGTCCCACTAGTAGATTAAAATTAGTTGGGTCAAACCTAAATTTTTTGGCTTTTTTTTTTTCCCTGGTATGCTTCTACTTTATATTTCAGTTGACAAGCACATGTATTCTGGTTCATGAGTTATGAAAGCATTTAAGTAAAGGTAATGTGAAGGAAACTTAACTAGGTCTAAGGCAAGCAGATAGCAAATTAGCCAGAACCACCTCAGCAAACTGATTTAGCAGCAACAGTATCTTGCCTGCATGCATTAGAGGAAAACTGTATTTATTTTGTATTCTGTTAAAAGAACCTGATCTTAAATTAGAGGAGATGGATATTTAATCTATTTTACAGGAGGTTTTTTAACTTCCTTTCTTCAGAGTGCAAATAGCTATACTGGAGATTTCTGTCCTTGCTCTTCTATTGATTCCTCCTCGTGAGGGAGGAGTTCTGAAGAAAAGGTTCAGTGTGTTGTCTTCATTATCACAGTGCTTATGTGAAAGACAGATGTCAGTGACCCTCCCCAGCTAAATATCTCTGTCTTCGCACCTGGTTTCCTTCATTCATTTTTCCTCATCTGGAGGATATGGAAGTGAAGTACATTCAGCTGTAACTTCTCCAAAGCATTGGGGCATATTCAGGAAGGCCCTCTGCAGTATAAATGCTTGACTTAATAAAACTAACAGTTGGCACAAAGAGCTGTTTTTCATTACATTTCTAGCAGATGTTCTGTTCTTAGAATAGTATAAGGTTTGGATCACTGATTATGTAGAGTACACTGCACATGTATATTCTGAGGGTAAACAGTTACTGGTATGGTGACTGGAATTCTTAATGAGCATTTTTTCGGAACTGGATTTCTTTTGTCCTAAAGGATATAGGAAGGAATTAGTTTATGTGGTGATAAGATCCACAGTGATCTGCAATACAAGCCACTGTGGGCAGGATTAAGATTACATTCACAAGCCAAATATGTTGAAAGAAACACTATACCTAAAAACCGCCACAGCAATGAGAAACCTTATTCAAGTGTATCTAAGGTAGTGGATGCACAGACAATGCATCTGGGAACTGTTGCACAAAAAAACCCTGTACTTGTCAAATTCTTTCACAAAATGCAGACTTCAGATAGCTTTTTTTCAAATGACCTGTTTGTCTTTGTGTGGTATACAGTTGTTCTTGGCATATTTCCCTGCTAAGGGAAGTTGGACAAGATGACCTTTACAGGTCCCTTCCAACCTTAATAATTTTGTGATTCTGTGATTCATCATGTATATTCATGCAGCAGCTTATCAATAATGTTGTTAAAGTGCAGTGCAGAAGTCTGAGTACTTTTGAGTTTGACTTCAATTCTTCCTATAATATAGTGTCAAATGAAGGCCAGTGACACGCAACTTATCAACACTTTATGGTAATTTTGTATTGGAAGTGAAGGACTAGCCAACTGCGTGATGTAGGTAGAGAGAGGACAGCTGTTCAGAATTGTACCTAGGTTGCCTGTTGTTTAGGTGTTGAGACTAGAATCTCTGTTTTTATGTACTCTGTATCTTTACTATCCATGAATGATACTTAAACAAACAAAAAACAAAAACAACCCAAGCATTTCTTTGTCAGAAATAATGCTTTCCTAAAGCATAACTTTAAGTATACTTTTTCTCACTGTGTAGTGTTATGGTCTCCCTTTTCTCTAAAGTTGGAGGTGGAATTGCCTGTACATTTCATTACACCTGGTAATAACAGTACACTTTAAAAAGCCTATATTACTTTTACAATCTAAATATCACCTTTAAGCCTGAATTTAGTTACGAGTATCTGGTATTATTCAACAGGTTCTCTAATAAAGAAGCAGTAAAGAGTGCAGGATTGCGTTTCTTTTTGGATCAGCTTTTCAGTACAATAGTTGAAGAACTGACTTGATTATGGGCTACTTGTGGGGAGAAAAGAAAAACAAACTAACAAAAGAAAGCATTAGGAGAATGGATTTACTGCAACTTTTAATTCTATACTTGCATCCTGTTACAATTTGTTATGAAACCTCATATCATAGAACTTGATGATATGGAGATACCTGCCAAAGTTATTTTGTCGGTCAGATGCTTTGGGGTTAGCTTGCACATATTTGTATAGCTTCCTGACACTTCCTAGCTGGAATATAGTAACTGCTTCAGCCCTTTGTCTACTTCATTTTGCTCAAATGTTGTTTGAAATAGATGCAGTTAAAATAAGGGACATTTATTCCTTGAGTTTACAGATCACTGTTTTGTGGTGCTGTAGTACTTACAGGAATATTGAACATGAAGTTGTGCCTTTGGAGCTAAAGCAGGATTTTTTTTTCTAAGGGGTTATTAAAAACAAAATACCTTGAAATTATTTATTTATTTTTTAAACTTAAAGCTAAACACACATATGCTCATGGATGTGAGCTTTTCAGGGGTTGGGGATTTCATGAATGCTTACATATTTTATGGAGAGAATTCTTCAGAAGTCATAAAATAGGTGAAATTATGAATCACTACAGAGTCACCAGCTTTAACATGAGAGCTATGAGTAGTTTTCTATGAAGAGTAACACAATTGAAGACATTTTTAAGTGTGCTAAGCCACTACTCTGTGTTTCTCAAGAAAAGCACCATTGGGAAACAAAGAAAATCACAAACTACCAGCTATGAATTTGTAGTGATTTTGATGATGACATTAAATACTACATGTTCTGCTTTTCTAACAGCTTGTTGAAGAAAGATACTGTATGAAGCTGTGGTTCTTCTAAGATTGTGACACGTCCCACACCCTTCCTTCCTTGTGTGCACAATAAAAATGATAGCTGTTGCTTGGACTCATTCCATCTCAAGGGCTTTTTTTTCTTGTTTTAAATATTTTCCCCCAAAAGGATGGTGTACATTCACTGTTATTTTTGATGCTGCCTGAACAGAAGCCTTGAAAGAGAGGAATTGCTAACTTGCCTTGGGTGAAAGAAGACTGAAGGCCTTTGTTACTGAACCATATTCTTAAAAAGAGGAAAGAGATGAGTAAAGGGCCACAACTCCTTGTGATTGCTTCTTGTAAAAATATAGTCAATGTCTTTTACCAGCAGTCCTTTAGTAGCACAGATTGTCTTGCTGTTGGGAAAGGGACAGGGGAAAGGGTTTTTTTTTCTTCCATTTAAAAGGCTTGTTCTTGTATATTAGCAAATAAGAGTTATACAGATGAAGTAACATCTAGCTTTCCTCAGGGCTACGCTGCAATGGTACTATGCTGGGGGCCCTAGAAGTGCACATGGGACTGTCCTGTCTCTACTAGAATCTCTCTTGGGATTTGTGGGGAACTATCAGATAATGTTAGGGCTACAAAAAGCCACTGAGCAGGAGTGAAAAAAACATATGCTGTTTCTGAACATACCTGAATTGAATGGAAGCTTTTGATTCTTCCAGAATGATTTCCTCTTTTTGTATGTATAACTATGTGATTGTTCAACATTTGTCTGGAAGAACTGAAAATACAGGGGTTAACATCTTGCCTAGGATTTATTGCTGCTAATAACACTTAGTGTTCTGTGACACTTCATTGCAATGAATAAACATAACTTACTGTGGCTTAAACTTGGGAACGTAACTTAAGATTCGTGTGTAAATTTGAAATAGAAACAGGTTGTATTCTTGGAAAAACATCTCTGCTAAGGTAAATCCTGAAATAAGACTGAAAATTACAAAGAAAGTTAACTTTTTTCAACCTACCTTTAACAGTCTGGTATATCCAGGAATCAAATATTTACCTTGAAGTTTGCAGCTGATGCATCAGTTACAGTACACTGCATGCTATCAAATGTGCCAACTGAACAATACACTGCTATGTTCTGTGAGCTAGCTCTGGATTGACTACAGGGCAAAAACTGATTCATTATGAGTCTTTAGGGAACTGGCTTAATTACCCAATATGCTTTTCTTAACCAAGGCCATGACACTGAGGGGGAACAATGGGTATTCTCCAACAGGGGTGAGTTTTTAGTTAGGATAAAATACCAGAGCATCAAAAGGAGAGGTAAATGGCTTTAACTTGCATTCCTGTTCAACAGCTTATTCATGAAACTACCCTTGGGGGTTTTGGGTTTTTTTTTTTTTGTGTCTTCCTTTTAATCAGTCCAACTCTGTTCTGTTGAGTTGAAATCAGGAGCTTCCTTGAGTGCTCAAAGTTTAGGGGCTCTGTAAGTGAAAAAAGTTGAGCACTCTCTGAAATTGAGAAAAGGACAAAATGAACTGGGAAACTGAAAGCCCCAGTGAAAAGACAAGAATTAGGTTCACCACTGAATTTCAGGTCAGCGTTCCCATGCAAGTTTCTCATAGCTGCTTATACAATTCTGTGTCTTGCTTGCTCATGTAATACCCTGATATTTCTCTTAAGGGCAGTAACTGAATGCCTCTTAAGGGCATACAATTCATATGCTAGTTCTTGTTCAGCGGATGTATTAGGACTGGAGGCTATGTGTGGTTCTGTTTTTTATTTTGTATTACAAGAGTTCTGAACTGAGCCTGTTCACCTTGCAGTGGGGATGGGGCTGACACATGTGATGACATAGTGGCAAAACCCCAAACCAAACAAAGCACACCAGTCCCCCCTCCCAAACACCCATCTGGAATTAAAATGAGTGAACAGTTCTCTAACAGCAGAATGTAGTATCTGATATCTGATTTTTCCTGAAAGATAATTAACTATATGAGCCAGTTGGGTGGACCTTCAGTTGAAACTTCCCTATTCCATGACCAATAACATTTTATTGTTCTCTGTGTATGTTGCTGTTGTCTGATGAAGTGTAGCCTCAATAATAGGGCATTTAGATGACTGAGAAATAAAACCCAATACATCTGTATTCTTTCAAAATAACTTTCTATTGCAAAGTGATTTTTGTTGTCTTACACGTGGGAATCTGTTCTCTCTGCTGAGTGCAAAATATGAGGTGTAATCTGGTCGAATAGATATGCAAGATGAGGGAAGGGGCTAACACTAATTGCTGTTGGTCTTCCCAGTTTTATATTTTGGGGGCACACTTTCTGTTGAAAGTAACCTGAAGAAATAAAACATTAGAACAAAAAGAAATGAAAAGGACATGAGCGTGTTGGGATAAAACCAATTGCCTAATGGGGATTAAAAAATAAAATAATGTAGCTAATAATCTGAAACGTTTTTCCTTTTTTGAACATAACTTCTGAGTTAAATTCTTGCTTCCTTTATACTTTCCTCTAAGGAGAAGTCTACTTACATGAAACAAAATACTAGGTGTTTGAGTAATGTATGTGAATACATTTTTACTATGAACAAGTTGTAATTCTGTGTGCTTCTGTAAGCTACTCTACTGGCTTATATGTTGAAATGATACTATAGAAATACATATGAATGAAAGTATAGAAAACTGAGACTTTTCTTAACTTATTACGCATTTTGTAATAAGAAAAATACTTTTTCAGACACAGGCTTCATGTCCTGTTGATCGCAGACCGTTTCAGGCAGTATGCAGGCTCGGTGCATTAGAAGAGCAGATAAAGGTATGTTCCAGACTTACTTTCTTAAGCAACTTCAGTCATAGAGAAAACACAAGTTATGCCACAACCTTTTATGCGTGTGTCTGTGTTAAATAAGCTTTTCTAATGAAATAAGTATTGCTTTAATGCTTCTGTTACATATTTGAAGCTAGGAGTTATTCTTCATTATATTTTTTTTTAAAAGCAAGTGTTTACAGTAATAATAATCACAAAGCTGCTATTGATACTGTATAGCATCTTTGAGTATTCCTGATGCGTCTAAGGATGGAAGTATAGTAATTGGTCTCAGCATGTTTTTAACTAGGTTTTGTAAACAAGTGCTATATCAAGTAGCACACGCTCTTGTCCTTTTTTCTTGCTGAGGTGAAACTTCAATGTTCACAGCCTCCAGTTCCCAGACAAAAACACATAAAGGCAAGAGGAATCAGTTAATACTAAACCTTGTTCAACCTAAATTTCTGGGGTTTTTTTTCCAGCTGAAATTCTTAATAATACTGCTACTGCTGTGGAGATGAGTTTGTCAAGTGGGAAAATAAAACGTTCTTCTGATAAATGATCTTGAAAATGTATGTATAGAATGATGCTCAGAATTCTGTGAACAGTTCTGAAATTCTCTGGTGAAATTATGGTCATAAGAAGTTTCTAAGGTGGTGTTTTTGCATTTTGAAAATAAAAACATTTTTGAAAGTTTTAGAAAATAGGCTCCTACTGCCCATTTGTTGTGCTTCTAGAGGCTCAGGTGATCAACTGCAGAAGAAGCATCCTCACAGCCAGATAACTTCCTTCTCATAGAAAACCGCACTGGTGTATTTTATCTTATTTCTAAAGAAACAAGCAGCTGGAACAAGTTAAACTGAAGCTTTCATTTGGAAGTTTTCAAGTGGAAGAGCGTAAAGGCTGTATCAAAATACAGTTTGAAAGGTTCTTTATTTGTAGAACTGCAGTGTAAACAGGTGAGCAGAGAATAAGGGTCCTGCTCTGAAAAAGAACCACTGGAGCATAGGGGTAGATGGAACTTGTACACAGAAATGCTGACACAGTAGTCAATATTAGCTGTGGCACAGTCAGGACATTGGCAGTTTTCCCTTTGTGATAGTCATAACTAGAATGCTAATAGCTTAAGGAGTTACATATAAAGCCAGGATTCTAGAATGAGGAAATACAGAATATCTAACACAAACATTTGCAATGTAGCCATTGAAGTAAACTTCATAATAACTAATGAAAAATATTACAGCTTTCTTAGAATTTTGAAGATAGGGAGCAGGGGTTGAAATGTGATGTAAAATCCATGATTTGTTATACTCCAGAGGAAAATCAAGTGCATTTTAATTATGAAGAAGTATTTGAAATTGGTAGTTCAGCATTTTCCCAAGCTGAACCTTACGTATTCAGATTAACCAAGTTAGTTTAAAAAAACCCTGAGCTTCCAAATTCTTGGTGGAAGATAGTTCATAGCTTTGAGATACTTGCCATGGCAGTCTGAATGTTCAGGGATTTTTTGGTCTTGTGGAATTAGCATGCATCTCTGGCATAGCCAGTGTACATCTTGAGGTGGGATTTTTTTCCTATTTCATGAAAAACAAATAAAAATATCAAGTCTGCAAACTGAGATTAAAAAAAGTAATAATTTGAAATGTTTTCACATTCTTCTGTTTGAGCTCATTTTCTCTGTAGACCTAAACCTTCTTTGAATTAATTTAAAGCCCATGTGTATTGAAATTCTAGATTGGATTAATTTTATTTTTCAATACAGGTTCAGGTTAAAAAGCAACTAAGGAGGAAGGAAGAAGACAAACACTGTGCCTGCAATAAGGGAAAATATAGCCATGCTAAGAGAAGAAACTTTGTGAGGTTGGTCATCCATGTAGTTTCAAGCATTCTAGTTGGAATATTCAAAATATATAAAGTCAACTGGTTTAAGGCATGCACCCCAGAAAAATTCTATTAAAAAAGATTATTTTAAAATCAACTATTTTGCAGCAGTGGTAGTTTAGCTTTACTTTTTTCACTGGTATAATTCCCACTTGAATACTTACAATAGCAAGCAAGAAGTAAGGAGCAGTGTATTTCATGCATTGAGTTCTGTGAAAGTTGCATTTTGAAAACATTCTGACAATTTTTTTTATTAATTAGGATTTTATGGCTAGATCATATTTTAACAATAGAAATCTTTCTCTTTGGTTATCTAAACAGACATCCCCTTTCTTGTATGTTATCATAAGCATTTGTGGTGTTCTTGTTTTACTATAAAACATACTTATAGTCAAGAACTGATTTTATTCTAGTGAGATTGAGACAGCATGTGGAAGTAACATTCCTGTTTTGAGAAGCTTTATCTTGTCATATTTGCTGCATTGTACAGAGGGAAGCTCAGGATTACACAGACAAATTTCACTGACTAGTGATAATCTAAAGCTAGGGTTTCATGAGATGTATGATATATGGAGTTCGTGAGAGTACATTTGAAGCAGACCACTACAGAAAAGATAACGGGAAGTAAATTACCATTTTGGGGGTCTTGTTAGAATATAAATAAGGTTGATCTTTGCCACTTACTGTTCTGAACCACCACTGACTTTGGTATCCTCAAAAGTATTTATGAAAGCAGGTTATAGCATTTTTCACATGTGAAATCAAGCAAAATTAGTCAATCAGATTTAATATGCAGGATATCAACTTTTAACATGTAAATGGATTTTCTTTTTTTACATCTGTAAACTTTTTGAAGTGCTGTGGGGTTTAATATATGGAAGGTGATATACATGATGCAAGTTCAGGTTTTAATAGCAGACAAAACTTGCACTTAAAGTGCACGAAATGAAAATTCCTTAAAGTAGGAGCTGATTCTGTTTGGATGCATGCACTGTTAGCTCAGCTATGCCCAGAAATAACTTTTGTAATATTTTTTGTTAATCTTGCAGAAGAGCTATATGTCGAGACAGAGAGCACTTAGCAGCAAGATTAAGCAAAGTTGTGAAGAAAAAATACAGTAAGTTGGTATTTGCTAGAATGTGCTAGGTTTTGGCAGGGAACACTAGAATTTCTTTCCTGATGAACCAATTTATTATTTTATTATGATTAGTATTGCTTACATTTGGACATGAAAATCAAATACTAAGGAGTAGAAGCATGAACTTTAGAGAACAGAATTGCAGTATGTGAAACTCCTGTTGTTAGTTTACTTGAAAGACTGCCTCTTCAATTTCGGTCACGAGTGAAATGCACGTAATTTAAGCCTAATATCATTTTCTGCACAGCTAATGACTAGCTTTTATTCACAGGAAGCTTTTTCTGTGAGATTTCAGACACAAGAAAGTACTTAGCTGTATTTTGGGGTTGCCATTTCGAGAGGCTTGTTTAATAGATATTGTTGGGCAAGAGTGTTCGTAACTTCTGAAATAAGCAAGTATCTGAGGTGAAAATGGCTCAATATATAACAAGCAATTGTGAAGGTGTATGCCTTTTAATTTTACTGAGTTTATATGTAAGTACATTATAAATACATTCGAGATACATTTTCATTAACCTTTCATTGCACTTATATTGCTAATTAAAAACTAATGCTGAATCTAATATTGGAGTTTTGTTTCTTATTGCACACAGGTAATATTTTGTATGACAAACGAAACAAGAAAGCTTTGTCAGTGAAGATAAACAAGGTTAGTTCTAATAATGAAGCATCTGGGAACTTTTTTTCATGAAAGCATTTATAAAGCTACCTTCTGCCTATTTTTAAGGTTAACTTCTATTCGTTAATTTTAGTATGAGTCAAATTGTGGGGGTTTTGTCTTGAAGGTGTTAATTAGAATATAATGCTAGGTGATATGAGCTGCTCAGACTAAACAGCTTTGTGGTGGTAAATACTTCCATTAGGCTGTTACATTATAAAATACTGTAACTACCCTTTTTTCACTTTCTTCACCAGAAGAAGATGGTTTCAGCTACAAGATGCTAAACAAGTACCATTATATGAAGGTTTTCATTATTCTCATGAAAATACGTAGGTCTAATCAACCAAATAATAAGCAATGGATGTTTGCCATGGTCTTTTTGGTAGCTAGTGGCCTGAGTTGTCACTTTATTTGGTGCACCAAATAAACAGTTCTCAGAGTTATCTTTAGCTGCAGCCTTCCCCTTCTAAGTCAGCTATTTAGAAATTTTGATTCTTTTACCATTAAAGGTACCTTCCATTTAATTGGAGAGGTTTTGAACTGGAAGGATAGGGCTTAATGGTAGATCACTGTCTAATTTGTCTCCAGGATTGGTGAATGCTTTCCTATCTGGCTTCACTGATTTATTGAGCAATGTTAAATAGCATTAATGTCTCAAATGGTACCTGTTGCAAAAAAGGTGCATAAGCAAAAGCAGAACCATTAAAAACCTTCAGGAGGAGGTACAGGGCTGAATTATCCAGTAAACTGTCAAAATTTAAAATAGCTTACAAGAAAGCACTGACTTAACAAAACTTCACCTCTTAAGGATATTTGTGGAACATCTGGATAGCTTTTTTAGATGGAGGGAGAAATGTTAATGTTCACAATGATAAGTTTTATTTAAAAAATACTAACAGCAGCTTTTTAGGAGAAGCTTAGAATTTGCACACTGTTGAAACAGGGTGTGTTCCCATCAAAACCAGCTGCCTGTGCCAAAGTTTGATGGAGCATATGGGTAATGACTGCATACTTGGGACAAGTATTTACGTAGAGGAACGTTTTTAGTCAGATTCAAGGTGGCATTAACCCTTTAGGTGAAGGGGTATACATGGGTCAGTGTAGGTAAGTGTGTCAGCCTGGTAGTCTGGAAAAAGTGTCTAGAGGGTTGTTGTTTGGGGTATTTTGGCCCTGCAGCCAGCCCAGTACACAGCAGCAGAGTCTGCTGCACACAAGGCAAAAGGAGTTGCACTAACATTCAGTGGGTGGCTAGGTGTTGTTAACAATTGCAGTAGAAGGTGGTATTTGTTCAAATATGAAGTGGATTCTGAGTATTACACCTTTGTGGGAGGACCCAGTAAACAGACACACCAGTCTTCTTTTTGTAATCCTACCTGAAGGCAAAGGAGAATCCCAGCTACTTGCATTTAGGTTTTCTTGTTACTCTGAAATCAAATAATTCAGTGAACTGCTGCGAAGGGTTCTGTCTGGAGGTATTAGTGCTGTAACTCCTCTTGTTCATTAGGTAGCAGAAACAGGAATTGTGAAATAGTAAGGATCAGGCTCACTTATTCACTGTTGGAACAAGTCCAGAGGAGGGCCACGAGAATGATCAGGGGACTGAAGCACCTCCCGTATGAAGACAGGCTGAGAAAGTTGGGGCTGTTCAGCCTGGAGAAGAGAAGGCTGCGTGGAGACCTCATAGCAGCCTTCCAGATCTGAAGGGGGCCTATAGGGATGCTGGGGAGGACTCTCATTAGGGACTGTAGTGACAGGACAAGGGGTAATGGGTTAAAACTTAAACAAGGGAAGTTTAGATTGGATATAAGGAGGAAATTCTTTCCTGTTAGGGTGGTGAGGCACTGGAATAGGTTGTCCAGGGAGGTTGTGAATGCTCCATCCCTGGCAGTGTTCAAGGCAGGGTTGGGCGAGGCCTTGGGTGATATGGTTTAGAGTGAGGTGTCTCTGCCCCTGGCAGGGGGGTTGGAACTTGATGATCTTAAGGTCCTTTCCAACCCTAACTATTCTATGATTCATCATTTCTGTATGGAGCATTAAAGATTTTGCCTATATAACATACAAAGGTTATCTGCAAAGAGCAGGTGTTGAAAATTTGGAGACTAAATAGAGGTTTGTGTAACCGCAGATCTCTGCATATAACTGTGAAGCTACTGTGTGCCTGCTTTTTGTGAGCTAGTCTTGCTGACATGGTGTAAATTCAGTGTGTCTTAATGTATTATATGTTAATTATTTTGTTCTGGAAATCCTTAAATCATTATATTTCTTTTGCAGCCCAGAAGACAGACCTGCTGGAATGAGTGCTTCAGAACTAATTTCTTCAGCACACTTCCAGCTGGTGGTAGCAATGAAGAATCCTCTTTTAGCTGTAGAAATGGCTGGTTAGTATATACTGGTGCTTAAGATAAACTGGTGGGTTACTGTATTGCAGGTGCTATAGTTCCTTCTGCTTCTGTCTGTATATACTAGCTTGAAATATTTTTCAGATTGTATTTATTAAAGGAGAAACACAAACTTGTTAAAATCAGTATTGTTACAGGCACACCTTGATTTGTCTTGTGCTCAGCATTCAAATACGTGAGTGTGCGTGCTTTTAATCTCACTGATTTAATAGGAGTTAATAAGTTTTATTTTTAGCTCATATTTATTCTCTTTGCTGAATTGAAGCCTTGGGTAAGAAAGGGTTAGTCCATTTATTCCAGCAGCAGTTAGCAAAACAACAGTAAATACCCTGGTTTGTATCAGAAAGACTCTGGTTGTTCCTTGATTCCAAGAGGAATACCTTAAACATACGTGAAGCAGTTCTGCTTCATGAGCCTAATACATATGAACTGGTAAAAATATTTCTCAGTGATAAGATGGAAGAACATTATTTGGATAGTGTAGCCTAATAAAAAAATACTGTGTATGTGTTTTCAGCAGTCTGTAAAACAAAAATTGCCATGCATGCAACAGTATTACGTTGTCAAGGATGGAAAGTTCCTCCCATCTTTCAACTCCCCATAGGCACGTCTCCTGTTTTCTGGTCTGTCCGCCTCATTTATTTAGGGTTGTTACGTTTAGTATGATTGCTCTAAACAATAACCATGCATAGTTTCATCATGACTGTTAAAGTTCTAATACAGTTAATTTTTTTCTGAAGGTCATTGATAGAAGTAGTTACTGAAAATTATGGTGATACAGAGTTACCATTTGTAACTTTTTGCATGAAATTTGTATTTCAGTACAGAATTCACAGAAGTTGATGCAGCAATCAGACAGAAGAGGCAAGCGCTAGAGTTGTCCTGTTCGTCTGCAATTGCTAGAGTTGAAAGGTATGTGTTTTGTATTCATAGTGCAAAGGCTCTTAATGTAAAACTTCAAGTATGGAATTTGATGAATTCAGATTACTCTTTAGATAGAATATCATTTGATCATAAAAACAAATAGTGTTTGCATGTAACCTGTTAAATTTTTCTGTATTTGTCACATGCAATTTTTATGTCAGCAGATTATTTTCTGTATAACTTAATGCTTTTCTGATACTTATGACAAGCATAGTAACTCCAGTGACTTGTGCATCTTAATATACACAAATGCGCTTTTAAATATGTTTTGTATTTGGAAGTTAGTGTTTCATGTGCTGTTTAAATTATTTCTATCACTAGAAATCAGACTGTTTGCTTTAACATGAGCCAAATCCTGATTTTCCACCCACTTCCAATACTCCTTTCTCATGCATTGGTTCTGACTTCTTTCTGTAACTGTTTATAAACAAATGCATTTAGAAGGAGATAGGAGGGGTTCTATCAAATGAAACATAGAACATAAAGTAATTTCTTTCGTCAAAGAGCAGATGCATGTTAAAATACCCTAAGGGTGTTTTCATGAATATAAAGCAGAAGCATAAAATCCTCCTGATTTTAAAATAACATGGTAATAAATTGGTCTATGATCTCAGATTCACTACGTATCTCTTTACTTTCTTTGGCATAAAACAAAGGCTAAAGACAGAACGGCAAGTAAAGACATTTGTAATTATAAGTTGGAAGTAGGATTTAAATACTAATTTTTTTTACATATACTTTTCCTTACGGAAAGTTTCATTCCAGCTTGGTGATAACTGAAAAATTGTAGATGGGTAACTAAACTCTGGGTTTGTACAAGGTTTGCTGAGGGAATCTAAGTATATATTTGGTTTGGTTGGGAAAACAAGAAGCCACCTTTACTAAATTGTCATGTTAGATTTTGATGCACAAAAAAAGGCTGTTCTTCCGCTAAAGTGCTAAGTCAGTGTTCTATTTTCAGTAGCAGAGCCTACTAATTTGGAGGAGACTGTTCTATGTTTGGCTTTGAAGAAAGCCAAGTGCATATTACTTTAACATAACTTGTTCAAACTGTGTTACTAGGTTAGGTAATAACATAAATCTGAAATTAAATATGAGAAGGGAAGCTTTGTTTGCTGTCAGCTTTGCCTTTCTCTCTGGCCATGGTGAGGTTGGAAGTGTCATAATTGTCTGATGTTCTGGTTTTGTGCATTGTTTCCAGAACTTGCTACAAGCAGCTAAAACAACTCATGCTAATGCTTTTACTTTTGCAGAATTCCTTTAATGTCTTACGGAGCTGAAGCTGAGACCTTTCTTCTCACTTCTACTACAGTGGCAGGGACAATTCTTCCAACAAATGTCAGGCCTTTGGAAAACTTTGGTAAACTTTTTTTTTGTAAGTTTTATTTATAGCTCATGTGGAATACTGTTAAATTAGATCCTTAGAAAGCAAAGTGGAATATATAGTTACAATTAACAGGGGAAAAAAAGATGTTTTGGTGCAGATTGGTGCTATTGCAACATCATCTGGTCTATTTCTGAAATTAGAATATAGAAGATGAACCAGCCACCCCAAAACGTGCAGAAGTTTTCTTCCTTTGAAGATGAAAATAAGTATTGTATGTGACTTAACTCCATTTCTAAATTCAACAGTTTCTTTATTGTTACAACTTCTTTTCTTACTGCTCAAGGATAAATCTCATTTTGATATATTATGTATGGCTTGATGTATTTCAGCGGTGTATTGTGCAGTGTGAAGACCAAATTTCTTCCTGACAGAGAAGAAGAGTAGTGAGGGAACAGTGCACTGTATGGATCTGTTTCAGTATGCCTACAAGCTCTACAGGGCAAAAGCTTGCAGGAGTGCTTGAGTTCCAGGATCTGGCAGGAATTTAGCAGACCTTCTTCCAGTTACTTTAACAGCCTCTCTCTCCATAGTCAGCAAGAATGTAGTTTCTCTTCCAATAGGCTGCACAAGCTCAAAGAAGTGATAACAAAAGAATGATGGGTTTTAAGGCTAGGGTTAACACCTTCTTTGAACTGGGAATTACACTATTTTCACTTGACTAGTAGGCAAAGAGATAGGGGAGATCTGGGTCTCATGGCTTACAAAAATGAGGAAGTGAATGTCTAGGAAGAGTTTAGTAGAAAGATTGTGGCAAAAGGTGTTTTACTCATTCATATTCTTCATTCATTTTAAAGGTACATATTTCACCTCCACATTGACCAGTGAAAAATGTATAGGTTGCTCCCTAGGGACTGTGATGCTTGGCAATGCAATTTAACTATTTCAGCTTCTAGTACTAATGTGTATACATGCTAGCTCCTACCTCTTGACATCTAATCACATTTCTACTTACACAGTCAGGCTTCTTTCTTAGTATGCACCAGAAGCATTTTGAAAACATCAAAACCAACCACCAACTCCCAAACCACTTTCTTCTCTCATCACAAAGATAAAGAATATTTAAATAAGCTACAGATTATTTTTCAACATCAGGCTGTTTACAATATGTGAATAAATAGCCTAATGTTGTATGTGCGCTCACAGCCCAGAAACCAACCATATACTGGGCTGCTTCAAAAGAAGTGTGACCATCAGGCTGAAGGAGGTGATCCTGTCCCTCTGCTCTCGTGAGAACCCACTTGGAGTACTGTGTTTAGCTGTGGTTTCCCTCCAGAGGAGGGCCACGAGGGTGATCAGGGGACTGGAGCACCTCCCATATGAAGACAGGCTGAGAAAGTTGGGGCTGTTCAGCCTGGAGAAGAGAAGCGTGGAGACCTCATAGCAGCCTTCCAGTATCTGAAGGGGCCATACAAGGATGCCAGAGAGGGTCTGTTCATCAGGGACTGTAGTGATAGGACAAGGGGTAATGGGTTTAAACTTAAGCAGTGGAGATTTAGGTTGAATATAAGAAAGAAGTTATTCTGAGGGTGGTGAGGCAGTGGAACAGGGTGCCCGAGGAAGTTGTGAATGCTCCATCCCTGGCAGTGTTCAAGACCAGGTTGGACAGGGTCTTGGGCAACATAGTTTAGTGTGAGGTGTCCCTGCCCATGGCAGGGGGGTTGGAACTAGGTGATCCTAAGGTGCTTTGCAACCCTAACTATTCTATGATTCTGTGAATTGTTGATAATATCAGCAACTAATTTATAAATGCTCATAACATTGTCAACTCCTAAGGCAGAACATGGAACTGAATCCTTTATGCTGGTTTTGGGGATAAGTGGCAGATTTTGAATATGAGTCTTGACAAGGAAAGAGAAGGAAATTCTATTTTTTCCCTCCAGATATTTTTGTCTTACATCTCATAGTGTTCCCTCCAGAGTTGTGCTAAGGGTCATAGAAGTATCAGTGATGTATAACTACTGCCTGAATCTTCCTGCAGCTGCTGCAGGTTTTTTTAGGTTCTCTGCCCACTAAATAGTCTTTTTACTAATTTGACCTGAAAATGCATCAGTGAATCTACAAATACATAATGGTTTAGGTTGGCATTAGGCAATTCTTTTGCGTGATTAAAATATTTTTAAATAAAGATTCAGTGGGCTGAAATCCCTTGTATTTGGCCCAAATCCAAAGCTGGTGAAGCTTGTCAGTTAAAATTTACAAGTAGTAAGGAATGCTAGAAAGGGAGCTGTGCTTCACAAGTAGACTTTGAAAGTGCCACAGAAATAACTTGTCTTTTAATTCTGCCAGGATTCCCCCATTCCATGTGTATTCTGGTGGCGGCACTGGTGGTTGTTGTTATTACCGAATCACAGAATCCCAAGGGTTGGAAGTGACCTCAAGAGATCATCTGGTCCAACCCCCCTGCAAGAGCAGGGTAACCTAGAGTACATCACACAGGAACTTGTCCAGGCGGGCCTTGAATATCTCCAACGTAGGAGACTCCACAACCCCCCTGGGCAACCTGTTCCAGTGCTCTGTCACTCTCACAGTAAAGAAGATTTTCCTGATGTTCACATGGAACCTCCTATGCTCCAGTTACAGGGTGATTTCTTTCCCCCTGAAGAAAATAACCACAGATACTAAATATTTGCTACGATATGTAATGTCCGACATGTATTCCTGGCTATTGTAGTAGGTATGATGACATAGAGACAGCCCCATATGGCAGAGTAACTGCTGGTTAACCACTGTGAAGTCCCTTTCTAACAAAAGTACTGGGCAGACTGTTACAATAGATACCTCAAATAGTGCAAGTCACCTAAAACACACGTTGTTTGGTTTTTAAGTACATAGTACCTTCTATACAGTGGATACTGTTGGGTTTCATTATCTGGAGTGGTAATTTGATCATTTTTGATCAGACATCCAAAACTATATTTTTTCATGTTCAGGCAAATTATGATGTTTACCAGGGAGGTCAGAGGAGGTGATTATATTCCTGTGCTCTGTTCTAGCCTTTTAAAGGCTAGCTAGGTGCTTGTGAAGTTAATTCTCTCACGTTATCAGGTTACATGTTTGGATTTAATTGGCAGTGATACATTTTTCATTCAGCTAACAAAGTAGTAAGGCAGTGGAAAGAGACTTTTGTGTTGTTACTCACTTGTCTTATTCCTATCTTATTTTTATATAATCTATTTAAGAATATATTAAAGAAGTATATGTGAAACAATAATGTTATAGAGAGAATTAGAATTGGTTTAGTGTGATGTGATACATTGCAAAAATCCATAGCAGTTAATCTTAGCAAGTTTCCACTATTTGTGTATGAAATTGAAGCTGTAAAAAGAATTAATTTAAACACCAAATTCTTGATGCTTTCTGAAATTACATATAGTGTGAAACAAATTAATGGACATCTCAAGAAATTTGGTTCTGAAGTATTCCATTCAAGTATATTTTCTTAATTATCATTAGTCTTTAATTCCTTAGCTGTCCCTCATTAACTTCCTTTCTTAGGTATCAAGAGTACAGTCTGTTCCCTTTGGAGTGAATATAACCCTTGGCTTCCCTATAAAGATTTTTGTCCAATTGTGGGTAGAGTGAAATAAATTAATGCAGTATCAACAGAAGAACTCTTGTGCTGCTATATGTGACTTACAGTTACTCTTCTTATAGTTTTAGTTTTGGGGTTAAACTCTCTAGCCTGCCCCAAGGCTTGCACTCTTGATTCAGTTTGTTAGGTGCTGTAGGCACCCTGGGTGCCCTGTTGGAAGCTTTAAGTCCAGTTTGCTGTGGAGCGTGCAAGGTCTGTCTTACAGCTGGTGAAGGAGTTTGCCCTGTCCAACATTTCATTTTGTAGAGAGATACGCTGTCATCGCTGCTTCCCATGTGGTCATCCACTGATGGCCATTTAACAGTATCTCTGCCTGTAGTACTGAGGCTTCACTGCCAACAGGTCTAGATTATAGAATGCCAGGAACTGCTAAGTGCTGTGGCAGCATTTCATACTGAATGTTAAATTGTATTAATTGAGGATATCTGTCGAACCAGTTATGTTTTTAACTGTTTGGATAAATGGTTATTACCAAACTTTAATGAATTCTGCTTTTATTAGAATCCTTAGGTAAAGGATATGCTGTTGCATGTACCCAAGATGGTGAAGAGAAAAAGCAAGCTTCTGGTTCATCTGGTGCTAGAGGAACTAGAAGGAAATCAGTTACTACTACTCCGAGAAGAAGGTCTGCCCGAAACAGCAAAAATGAGACTCTGGGTCCATCTCGGAGCTCGCCTCGGTCAAGCAGTTCTGCGTGCAGTGCCCCTGATGGCACCAACCCATCTCTGAATAAATCCCTTTCAGAACCAGAGAAGGCTCCTCCAAAACGGAAGTCTAAACGAATAGTTAAACAACAAACACCAGTGGCTAAAAAGAAACTGAGAAGGTCTGCACGTTCTGAAAAGTCACCCAGTGATTCAGTGGAAGATGATGATGTCGCTGAGCCTGAAGCAGTTGTGACATTAGATAAAGACCAGCAGTCAGATAATGAAAGCACAAGCCTTCCACAGAAGGATAACACAGAAATAGAATCTGCTAATGGATTGGAAAGCTGTAGTGAACATGCAGAAACTGAGGAAAGTACAGGAGAGTGTCACAAAGATGAGGATACTTCAGGCAGTGTGGATGCAAGTAGTTCTAATGTGCAAGAACCTCCAGTGCTAACTTCAGGAGGAGAAAATCAGGAAATCAAAGTAGAAGGTGTTACTGAAAAAAATGCGGATCTTAAGGATCAGGAGATCTGTGAAGATACTCTTGAACAAATGGAAACAGTAGCCAGTCCCAAAGATGACGTGTGTGATCGTGCAGCTGTTGAAGAAGTAGATCAGACATTGTCTACTCCTCAGAATGAGCTAGTTGAGAATATAGAAACCGTGGCAGAAGTAGCTCAACCCATAGCTAGTCCAGAAAACAAACTGTTGGAATGTCCAGAACCTTTGGGAAAAGTTCAGCCATTAGAGAGCCCCAGAAGCGAAATGCCCGAATACCCAGAAGCCATAGAAATAGATGATTCAAAGGCTGAAGAAAAGACAGTAGTAGATTGTACAAGTACAGATACTGAAAACTTAGAAACTCTTCAAGATGAAGAACCAGATGCATTAGCACACAATGTTTCTGTGGACAGTACATCAGAACAGTGCTTAAAAGAGAGCTGTGTGCCAGAAAGTGAAGAAGGTAGAACTTCAGAGACACCCCAGGTAAATGTTGAACATAAACATTTTGGTGAAGATAACAATGAAATGATACCGATGGATTGTGATTCATTTTGCAGTGACCAGAATGAAGCTCAGGTTGAACAGTTACCACAAGTTGAAAGTACAGAGCAAGACGAAGTAAACTCCTTACAGTGTGGTGTGGAAAACTGTACATCAGTTTCAGGACTTCCTGATGAAAAAGATGAAACTGTTCCTCAAGAGAGAGAGTGCCAGTCTGAACTCAAGAAAGATAAAAAGGCTCGAACTAGAAGATCTAGGTTTCACTCTCCATCAACAACTTGGTCTCCTTCTATGAGAGAGGGCAGGAAATCTCAGTCACCATCCCCTAAAAGGGAGGTGACCAGAGACAGGAGCTCGCGATCACCCAAGAAGGAAGCTGGGAGGGAGGGAAGGAGATCCTTATCTCATTCTCCAAAGAGAGAGACACTCAAAGATGAGAAAAAAACATCATCTCGATCTCCCAAAAGGGAAACTATCAGGGAAAGCAGGAGATCATCTTCTCGGTCAAGAGCCAAGGATTCGTCTCCAAGGCAAAAATCTAGATCTCGAAGCAGTGATAGAGACAGTCAGAGAAGAGATCGTGACAGAGAAAGAAGAAATAGGAGGTGGTCTAGGTCACGGTCACGATCTCGGTCAAGGTCCAGATCTAGGACGAGAAATAAAGGCTCTTCATTCTCTAGAAACGAGAGGGACAGTCATTCACCTCGATGGAAGGAGAGATGGACAAATGACAGCTGGAGGAGTCCCAGAGGAAATGATCGATACAGAAGAAGCGATCAAGAGAAACAGAATGAAAGTCTTAAAAAAGAGAAGGACAGTACAGAAAAAAACAATGATGATCAGTGTTCTTCAGACAATAGGAGGAATGATTGTCCAGACTGGGTAATGGAAAGGATAAACTCAGTTCCTGAAGTCAGGAACAGAGAGAGAGAGAAGCCACATTGGGAAGATAGCAGGCATGACAATTCAGGGCACTCTTGGAATAAAAACTATGCTTCAGGTTGGATTCAGAATCGAGGGAGGGGTCATCGTGGCCGCGGTGGGCGTGGAAGAGGTGGTTTCATGTATGGAGACCAGAGTGAAAATCACTGGCAAAATAGGAAACCTGTCTCAGGGAATTCAAATGGTTCTGGCAATGAAACCTCAAGGTTCTCAGAGCATCAGCCCTACAAGCGTAAGAATGAACAAGATTACTCTTTCGATACACCTGCTGACAGATCTGGGTGGACATCTGCGTCCAGCTGGGCTGTAAGAAAGACTTTACCTGCTGATGTGCAGAATTACTATTCAAGAAGGGGACGCAACTCATCAAGCCCACAGTCTGGATGGGGAGTGAGGCAAGAAGAGGAGGTGTCTGAACAAGGTATTCATAGTTTTGAAACGTAAGAGCTTAGTCACAGCTGTAGGAGCTGAGTAAAATCCAAGCCATGCTCTATCTCAAGATGATTGGTTCTTAAAAAGAATTTGGGGTGAATCCATAGTCTTTTTACAATGTGGAGTTGTTTAGGTATGGGATTTGGGGTTTTCTGGTGTTCTGATGGCTTTTTGGTTCTACTTAAAATTCCAGTTTTAAAGACTATGCATCTGAAGAGTGCTGCTCAAGTAAATCAGTTTGGCTGAAGAGAAATCATATTCTCTTCAAAGTTACTTTTAGCATCTGCATGCCTTTTAAAAAGGGTGATTTTTTTGTCAAGGAGACTTGCATTTGCCTTCACAGACCCACATGGTATATTCTAGCGATGACAGATCACTACGTTGATATTTATCTTGCTTCAGTGTAAGCATTTCTTCTTTAAATGCTTTAAAAAGTAATGTAAGGAGATTTGTAAATGCAAAACCAATACTTTTACTGTGCTTCAGAGTTAGAATTCCTCTAAAGATTCAATAGAAGTCTCGTATTTTGGAGTATTTTATATCTAAAAGGTGACTGCCCTGGTGGAAATAAACGTTCTTGTACTGAGTTAACTGTGGAGGAGATTAATTCTGAATAGCTAAGAATTCATGCACAGATTATGAATGATCTGAAGTATTAAAAGTACTTTAAAACATGTGAATTGTATTTAAAAACGATAAAATCCAGTTCAGAAGGCAACCACGCTTGCACTTTCCCATTGTCTCCTTGGTTTGTCTTTCATTTTTATCCATTTTCATCCTATATGCCAGCAGCTTTCTTCCTCTTTCAAAGACAACTGCATTGGCAGCTTCTTAGTTTTGGGGCAGCTTTGTCAACCTTCAGCCAGCTGCAGGCAAAATGTATTCAACCTTTAATTGAAAGCATGGTGCAGTTTACAGCCTTTTCGATCACGTAGTTCAGGAACAATCACACTGATAACGTTCACTTCCAACCTCAGTGATTCTGTTAGCCCATGATCTTTAAAAAAGGTGATTTGGGATGAAGCGGAAGGGTTTAAATCCCATTCCCTGTGAATTAGGTGGCAGTGGGTTCCTCAAGGAAGAGATTCCAAGGGAAGAACATGTGAATTATAATCCATCAGCTGTTTCTTAGAACCAATTTCTTGCTGCTAAATGTTAACTTTCTGTCTCCTGTTGAAGATAGAATGAGCTACTAAAGTCATCTTTTAAAAGAAGTGGCACCCCAAGAGGTTATTTCTTTACTCCTGGACTTCACCTGTTGTACTATTACAGGGCTTTTGAACAACTCTTTCTGAATATGAGCATCATTGAAACTGGTTGAGGACATTTGATTACTCAGTGGAAGAAAACCCAGCAGAGAATTTCTGTAGTTAACAGGAATGCGCAGAGAATGTGTGTGAATCAGGCAAAGGGGAGCAGAGAAGTGCAACGTGCGCTAACCTTCTGCAGCTGCAGAAGCTGGAGAAGTTATGTTGTCATTCTGCTCTTTGCTGGTGAATTACTGTTTCAGTGTGATGAAATAATTTATTAGCTGTGCTATGGGAGCAGGTAGAGAAAATAGGAATTCAAACTGCAGGCTTCCATAGTAACCTGAACTTATTTTTAACCCCAAAACTAGCATTTGGCTCACTGACGTGTCTGATGATGAGTGCTGTGCAATAATGTAATGCATATCTTTAAAATACTCATATTATAGACAGCTTTTTGATATTCCATACCTCGTGAAGAGTTGGCTTCACTTTTGCTTTATGAAATGCAGATTTTCTACTTCATATACTACCTGGTTTTTCTTTTGATAGATCCAAACCTCAAAGACCAAGGCAACCAGCAGAGTGATGGTTCTCAGTTACCAATGAATATGATGCAGCAACAAATGAATGTAATGCCACAAGTGAATGCACAGCACCAGCCTATGAATATGTTCCCGTATCCAGTGGGTGTGCATCCTCCTCCCATGATGAATATGCAAGGAAACCCTTTCAGCATCCCCCCTCCAATGCCCATGCATCATCTCCCTACCGGAGTGCCTCTCATACAGGTAGCTGCTCCCACAAATTTGTCTCAGGGATTACCTCCGCCTCCACCTCCACCCCCACCATCTCAACAAGTCAACTACATTGCTTCACAGCAAGATGGAAAACAATTGCAGGTATGCTTTATCAGAAGCCATGGCAAGAGCAGTATCAAAGTAATACCAGTTTAAGGGTTTCTTATATTGAATACCATAGTCTTGATAAATTTATACTTGCAGTTTCTTTCTCTCTTGCCTGTCTTCTTTTGCCCCACACTAAATTTAAAGTGATGGTCTCCATGAGGATCTGAGTTGGTTTGGGGCTATAGCTTTTAAATAATAATACACAACACCATAACTGGGTTTTGTGGTAGCAAAGCGTTCCAGCTGGTAATGGAACACTGAAAAATTTCATCAGTGTTGTCCATTACCTTTTTCTTCTTACAAGTGCTCCATTTCCAAAACTGAAGTGTTCTCTTTCAAAACCCAAGTCTTAAGCTTTAGGAAATGTTTGAGTCCCCTTTTATCAGCATGTAGGAAGTGACCTAAACGTTGTTGTTGCAATTCTCATCCCATGGGGTTTACCAGCAGAGGAAAAACTACCAAGTACTGCGTGGCACCCAGTTGTTCCACACTTCCATTCTCCAGCTGTCATTGTCTCAGCAGCTTCCTCACACATACGCATTTTCTGTTCTGTTCAGTCTTTTGAGCCTTTTTGTTAGTAATTTCCAAGCTTTCTTTGGTATATTCTACATTCCCCTTCTTGCCTGAACCTCCAGGGTTTTGCATGCGCAGTTTGAGACCTAACTCCCACTTCATTTCTCCAGTTTCAAAAAGATTGCTGTGCTTGGGGTAGGTCAGACCATCTTTTAGTGCCTTTAAAGCCATCTTAAAACAACCTTTGTGTATGTGAGCTCTTCCTGTAGCCAGCTGTTTATATTAAGAGCTTTTATATCAGGGAAAGGAATATGAACAGCTTCTAGTAGAATGCATGGCCCTGCAAGGAGACATGACGCTGCATCTGTGATGTGTAAAGTGCTCTTCTGGGGTTGACTGAGGTTTGTGTTTTTCTTCTGTTGCAGGCTGCTTGCTCTAACCTAAAATGCTTTCCACTGCATTCCAGGTTAAAAAGTGATGTTGTACAACAGTGATTTCTGACCCTCTGTTTTCATCCGTCATCTCTAAAGACTGGAAGTGAACTGATAAACTGCCTATATTCTTTTCACTTTCAGCTGCTGTTACCATTCATATTCATTAACTTAGAACAAAAGGAGCTTAAGTACTGTGGGAAATACTGAGGGGGGTTGTAAGCCATTTGAAATAAAGTATACTCTACAAAGTACCATTGGAACTAAAATGCTGGTAGACTGCTTGTTGGTTTAATTAATGCCTGTTGTCTGTAATTAAGATATTTTCACAACTGGAAATCCAGTAGGTTTAACCCCTAAAACTGTAAGAAGTCAGCACGTAGGGTACAGACCTCTGTGGAACAGTATCTAGTGCAGCAATAAATATGTTTCTGTATTGGTGTATTGCTCAAAAATACAGCTATTTGTTAGTAAAGCCCCTGTTATATTTGTTGCTCTCTCCTGCTTTTGTGGAACGGTGTCCATGAACCTGAATGCTCTTGGGAGCTGCTGCTGCTTTGTCTTTGAGTTTTCACTGAGCAAGTCCTTGGTGGTAGTACAATAGGAATTACTGAATGCTGCAGGACTCCACCTGGCCTTCCTGTTGAAAGGAAGATAAAGAGAGCGCACTGGCGAGCATCAGCGTGCTGATTGAAACAGCTCAATATCCGTGTCCTTTCCAAGGAGCTCAAGTTCCTGTTTCATTATGTTTTCACCTGGATAAATGCAGATGTAAAGGGAGCAATGGTGATTACCCACAGGAAAAAAGCAGCAGTTAGGTTAGCCTGCTAGAGACAGGTTGGGAGTGTGGGTTCTTGGCTCCTGCTAGAAGTGAGCTGTCTGAGCTCTGAGAGCTACCTAATTTCTCAGTTCCAGAGTATCAGCAGTGCCTGGGTCTATCCGTGGAGTTTGGAAATGCACAGAAAATGGCTTTTGCTGAGGAACAGATGCTGGTGCTTCAACCAGCATTTCACCTCTAGGCTCGAGTAGGCTTGTAGGTGGTTCGAAATTCGTTTGGAAGTTCAAGCTGATAACAAGCATGAAAGTAAATGTTTTCTCAGAGCAGCATCTTTGTGATGCAGGGATGCAGGTGTGGTCTGAGGTTACTTGAATGTGTGTTTAAGGAATGTTACTCTGGGACAAGTAGAGAGGTTCTGCAGCCTTGAGGTTCCTGCCCCTTGTGCTAACTAACATCTTCCATGCCTGTCTGCAGGGTGCTTTGGTTGTTTTATCCTTGGGATCAGAGCAAGAATCTTCACCACCTCCATGGCGTGTGGAGGAGGCTTTACTCTTCAAGTTTTATCCTTTTTTCCTCTGAAAAAGGAAACTTGTACCTTCCCTAATAATGAACAGTGTGGAAATCAGCTGATGAACCAAAGCATGTAGCATTCATGCTCTTTCTATAGCTGCTGAGACTTCTAGAAAGGCATATTGTCATACTGAAGGATAACTATATTAACTGCTGCTAACTTTTTGAAACAGGGTATTCCAAATGCTGCTCATGTAAGTAATAACATGAGTGCTCCAGCCTTGCCTGCTCCAACAGCAGTCCTGGGAAACACGGGAACAGTTCAGGGACCAAGCTCGGGTAATGCCACATCGTCAAGTCACATCAAGAGCGTTAATGCAGCAGTGAAAGTGGGAGAGAACAAAGCAAGTGTGACAGTGGAAGCCAGTGCAGATAGCTCGAAGAAGGACCAGGCAAGTTCAGAGTATACTTACATAGACACTGTTTTTTGTATTTATATATAAATTATATATAAAAATTTTCTATATTGTATATATAATTTTGTATACTAAAAAATAGCAAACCATGACAAGTATCCTTTTGTGTAGTATGCTCGATATCATCACGTATGTGATACTTTTGTGGCAGGTGTAGCACGTAAACTAGCAAGCCTTTTTCATGTAGTCTCCTTTAGAGCATCACTGTTATGAATATTACCTTTAATTGCTGCGGGACAGCATTCCAGTCTGAGTAAAACACAGGCAGCTTCATGAGAGTTGAAATGTGAGTGAGGGGAGTGTGGCTCTTCCAGGCTTTGTAATACCTTGTCTTCTGTAAAGTTTGTGAGAAAATGCTGTATCTGCGGGCAGTGAAAAGTAACACTCAAGTTTGTTTCCTGATCAGAAATTGTTAATTCAAGAAAAAGCGGCACAAGAGGTCAAACTGGCTATTAAACCCTTCTACCAAAATAAGGACATCACTAAGGAGGAATATAAAGAAATAGTGCGGAAAGCTGTAGATAAAGTAAGTTGACCGAGTAATCTGAAATGTGTGCTTCTCGGTTGAAGTGGAGTTTGGGGTAATTTCTCAATCTTGTGGGCACAACTGGTAGTTGCTGGGAAAGGGGAACAGGAAAAGCACAAATACTTTCATCTTTCTCCATCCACGAGAGCTCTCTTGGCTCCTCGCAGCATACCCCATTCACTGTGAGAAACAGCTGGATGGGAATTCACAAGTATGCAGGAAGCAGTTGGGGAGTACTGGGAGTTTCCAGAGTTCTGCTGAGGTGGGGAAACGGGAGGTGTTGGGAAAACAAATAAATGATGTGGAACAGTGGCAAATGACCAGCAGTGTTTCAAACAGGGTCTTGTCTTTGAAACTGTTTCAGGTTTGCCATAGCAAGAGCGGAGAAGTTAATTCTGCCAAAGTGGCAAACCTGGTGAAAGCCTATGTAGACAAATACAAACATTCACGGAAGAAGAACCCCGAAGAGGCCATCTCCTGCGAGAGGAAATAGAACGTGCTTTCAGTTGTTAATGTTCTTCTATCTGCAAAGTGCAATTGCAACATGAACCGTTAACTGAAACTTGTACATGACACTGATTTGAACCTGGGTTTGATAAAGTTATTTTTCAATGTAGTATATAATGTTTTGTTCTAAAGAAATAGAGACCTGCAGGGCAACTTCTTTATTCCTTTTTAAAAGCAGATGTCTAAAAAAGAAATGAAATGTGTAAAGAAGAATCATTAGGGATGTATGATTGTGTGGATACTTAGATGTACAGCATTTTGACTTGAATAACAGAGTGCGTTAAACTAGAATCTTCGGAGCACGTTGCTTTTGGAACAGGTATGTACAGTCCATGGAATGGGTCAGATTTAAAATGAGTTTTTTTCTTTTTGATTTCTCCCTAATTATAGCAAATATAATGTATTGCCTTGACAGAGATTTCTAGCGTTAACTGGACGGGCTGAATGCAGGGGTCACAATGTGTATATAAAAAGCACATGGAGTTGGCTGAACAGAACTGTTTAGATTTTTAAAGAGGAAAAACCATGAAGAGTGAAGGGCAGTGCCCAGGGCCATGGGTGCTGCACATCTGTTGTAACACCAAATAAAAACGATGCTGCTCGGTTTTGTTTGTTTTTCACTTTGTTTCAAGATAGGTGGGATGAACTTGAATGACTTTTATGTGCTGACATACACACACACACACTGACAACCTCAGATCATGTCTACCCCTGCCCCTTAGCTAGTAGGGAATTGGTATGCGAGAGCTGGATGTTCAGAAACATAAACCAGTTTCTTCTTCAAGTCAAGTGGAGGAGTTGGCATTTGTTACTGGGCTCCCAGCTGCTCACAGAGGGCCGGTGGTGCACATCTGAGCTGCATAGTGCTTTTTCTTCATTAACTAGGGCCTGTAGCATGGAGCTCCAGACTGGGATCGATGAATGGGTGCAGTCTGAAGTCACATGCAACAACTCTTCTACTTCCCCTGAGCACTTTTGTGTAGGGAGGTCAGTAGAGATACCACAAGCATTTTAAAAGCAGATGTGGGGGTCACCAGATGTGCCAGGGGAATGCCTACACCTAAGGTAAAACCAGTTTTACTGACATAGGAGCAAGGAGGGTTGCTGAAACACTGAGATCATTACTTGTTCCTTATGGAAGGAGCAGCTTGGGATCAATCCGTATTTGAGTGGAGAAGTATCCTTACTCTGAGACAGGAATATTTGTTCCCTTCTGTCAGATGTGACCATTTCAGCACTCCCCCTCCAGTCCTGCCATGCAGCAGCAGCCTTTGGCACTGGCTCAGCCTGGATTCTGCTCCAGCCCCACATCTCCTGGCCCAAAAACCTGCAGAAACTGCTTGGACAGAAAGGATCAGTCAAGTTTTCTGAGAAATTACCTCTTTGTAGCCAATAGTTCCCCATTTGACTGTTCTGGGCAGAAAACCCAGCCTTCCCTGTCAGTAATTCCTGCAGAGGCCTGAGGATGAAATAAGGGACACGCACCCCCCTATACACACATGGTTAGAGAGAGATACATGTATGTGTAAAATGGGTGATGTTTGTCACAACGGTTGGTCGCTTGGTTTTAACCATGACTTTTCTGCAGGCGTAATGAAGCATTGACTGTCTGTATTTATTGTTGTGTGCCTCAGTAAAGATGCTGTGTAAATTAGACACAGAACACATTTTCTACAGTCAGAGCAGGTTTTAGCTTTTTCAGAGCACTCAGTTTTACACTGTGGTAGCAATTTGTATGATCTCTTGAACTATTTTAAGCTAAAAGGGGTTAGCACTTTCTGAAAGATGTTGTAGCAAATTGCTATGTCTCTCCTGGTTTATCACGCCATGCGTACTTGATTTCTATTTCCTTTCCCTTCTCTGGACTTCTAGATGTTAATGCCTTTTTATATCTTTATACAGTCGAGCCTTGCTATAAAGCTCCTTTTGGGAGCCAGAGATGTGTTCTGTGGGTTGTTTTCCCCTTCTAGAGGAGAAGTGGGAATGGGTGGAGGATTCAAACTGGAAGATGGGGTCACTGATTCCTTGTGTTGCAGCTCCTGGCTGGGAGATAAGCTGTCACTTGCTGCCACGTTGCTGGGGCAGTGACTGTAGTGATGCTCCACTGTATTTCAAAGCATAATGAAGAAGATGGCTAGAATAGCACTTGATCAGTAACTTTATTTTTTACAATGAAATACTTCAGAACTTAGCAGGAAATAAGCGGTTCGGTGCGATGTCGGTGTTGAATTAAAGAAATGCATTGCCTTAATCCATAGCCTCTCTTATTTTTTCCTGAAGCTCAGTAAGGAAGGCACGTACCTCAACCTTGTCGTTTGTTAAATAGCTTGAAAGCTGGATTTCTATTTATTGGAACTCCTTGTGCTGCAGGTCCCAACGTGCACTGGAGGCAGGGGATGGGGACGCTGAGCCCCCGGGTGGTGGTAACTCCATCGATACAAATTGCCTTGAGGAAAACAATTGCTGTGTACCTTGTGTGAACTGATGCAGAGCAAAAGGGTTTTCTTTGCACTCCTTGCGCTCACTGTGCGTGATGCTTGAATGTCTCTTCCTAAAGATGGATCTTGTGAGCACAGTGGCTGGCCAAAATCCATCATATGGTGTCTGTAGCATGAGGCTGGAGTGCTGTCTACTGAAAAAATACTCTAAAACTCGGTTTGTATAGTGCTTAACACTTTCTAATAAATCTTTTTCACTAACCTGGCAGTCCATGTCTGGTCTTGAACGGGGCTGTGTCAAGTGAGTTAATTCCAAGTTAATGGCTGAGGGAATTGGGGTGGTTTAATGGGGAGAAGGGAAGAACCGGGGGAGACAGCACTGTATCACTCCCTACAACAAACTGAAAGGAGGATGGAGACAGGAGGTGGGGGGGTCTCTTTTTCCCAAGTAACGAGCAATAGGGCAAGAGGTAACAGCCTCGAGCTGTGCCATGGGAGGGTTAGACTGGGTATTAACAAGAACTTCACCAAGAGGGTGCACCGGCATTGGAACAGGCTGCCCAGGGCAGTGGTGGAATCACCGTCCCTGGAAGTGTTCAGACACCGTGTGGATGAGGCCCTCAGTGACATGGGTGAGTGCTGGACTTGATGTAGAGCATCATTTCCGACCGAGTCGATTCTGTGATTGAGAAAGCAATGTGTAATTACTATTGCTTCTGTACGTACGCCTGGTTAATCATCTTACTCCATGGTGTTTGGGCTCCCCCTCCTTACCATCTGGTTTGTTTTCAGTCATCCCATCCTCCCCCTGCCTTGCCTGCATGCAGATGCTCCAAGCTGAAATGAACTAAATACATGTGGCAACACATCCATGGACTGCGTGTGCTGCAGTGGTGACTCCAGGTACTGGGTTTGCAAAACACTGGGGGGTTTGGCCTATGATCTGATCTGCTGCATGGACCACACAGGGGCAGGACCCAGCTCAACCCCATCCTACACACCGTGTGCCCATCCGAGCCGTGGGGTTCACTGAAAGAGCCCATGGGGGATTCAGCACATGGGAGCCCACCTTCCTGGGGAGCTATGTCCAGGCATCACTTTGCTTTCTAGGATTAACCCCAGTGCACTTCCCTCCAGTACCTCCACAGATCATGCAGACACAAGCTGTGTGAGAGCCTCTTGCTCTTGAAGGCAGCTGGCTGGCTGCTCCATGACATCCCAACTGGATTGGTTGGATTTGGGATGCTTTGGCTGGGCGGTAACATCCAGGGTGGGAAAGGATCCTCTTACCTGGTACTGCTCTGAGGGTGTCTTGGTTCTGTCACTCTGCACTTACTCATAGATGGTCTTAGGGAAGAGCACGCCACGTTGAGGAGCAAGGGTGGACACGAAGGACGAGACTCAGGGGCTTGGTGAGGAGGGGGGCCCAGAGGTGTCAGTGCCTTGAGGCTGAGTCTTCAGAAAGGAAGAAGAGCAGTGAGAGGCCTGTGCTGGAGCTGTAACCAGCTCCGGAAGCTGCAGTTACAACATTCACATCAATCAATGCGTTAGAAATAGAGACAAGAATAAGGACAATAAAGGAGAAGTGTTCAAGGCCAGGCTGGACGGGGCTTCAAGCAACCTGCTCTAGTGGAAGGTGTCCCTGTGCACGGCAGGGGGCTGGAACTGGATGAGGTTTTTAAGGTCCTTTCCAACCCAAACCATTCTGTGATGACCAGTTTCACTAATTAAAGAGTATTTATCAATCAGATGCAGCAGCTTTCAAGGTAATGGAGCATTGATGGAGACGCACTGACCTAGAGGTGAAGAAAACCAAGCCCCAACACTAAAAGCACAGGTAACTGCACAAAACCACCTGCAGCTGTGGGAAGGCGCAGGCCAGGATATGGAACTTGGCTCTTTCTTTTCCAGTGTTACTCACTCACCGCTCCCATGGATTCACGGGCCAGCAGCGAGCTTTTGAGCAATCTTCATTTCCATAGAGGGCAGTACATAGAGGGGATCACAGCGATGCAGTAGATGCTCATTACACACAGTGAACAATCAAACCAGGATGGAATCCAGCACACAGAGAAATGACTGCAGGAGCCAAGCCCGAGGAATTCTGGCAGCAGGATGTCATGTAATTGTGTTCGAGAAACCACACCTGAAACCACTGGGTTTTTTATGAAGAGCATCAATCAGAACGCTGGTGAATCCTCAGTGCAGCAGCAGGGGGATGAAAGGCAGGAATCACTCCTGGGAGTCAGAGTTCACCTGGAAATTCCCGATCCTCTTACAAAAGCTTGGAGCTCTCGAGGACAGCAGCTTGCACGTGGTGGGGAGGGGGTGCCCCATCAGCAGGCAGGAACATCACTGCCTTTTTTCCTCTCCTGGAGTCAGAGGGAGCCCCGATGTGCAGGTATTGGCAGCGCAGACACTGATCAGGCGCGCTGATGACCAAAGCACAGCCACTCGTTCTGCAAGAGAGAGAGTGGAGCTTCTCCTTGCTGCTGGCAGCACCAGGAGGAGCGGGATCCCCAGTGCTCCCTGCAGGCATTGAAGCACCCTAAAGGGAACCTTTCTGTTGAGAGCATCCAGGAGGAAAGGCTGACACACAGCAGCTTGCTCAGGGGCATCATTTACCACTGCATGGCGCCTGGCAGTTAAATGGCCATCTCAGGCTCATAAAACTCTACGATATTTCCCTTGCAAACACAATGACAACTCTTGGATGCACAAGACCTGCCTCTGGTTTGAGTGTCTTTAATGCCATCACACTACAGAGCTGCTGCTGCTGCTGCACGTGGCTTTGCTCCGTAAGCTCAGCTTCCCTGACACACGAGGGATTCAGTGGCCAACATGGGGCGGGGGGGAGACCCTCCCTCTAGGGGGGTTCAACCTCCACCTCCCTCCCTCTGACACTGCAGCCACATCATCAAGCCAAAGGGAGCACAAGGACATGGACTCTGTGGGCTTGTGTCAAGCCCTCAGTGCCAGCCCAGAATCCCCGGGCAGCTCCCAGAGGCGAGCTCAGTGACTGATTGAGCTCCGAGAGCTCTGACGAGCACACACACACACAGCAATAGCTGGTGCTGGCCAGCTCTCCCCTGCAGAAGTACCGGCCCCTCTTCCCTCTGCCCCACTGCTCCCTTCGCTGGTGACCGGCCAAGCAGCTGAGCTCCAGC